TCACTCACTTTCTCATTCTCTTTTCTCTATCCCCCTTTCTCACTCATACACTTCCTACATACATTTACTTCCTCTCACAATAACTTACTGCTCCAATTCACTCGCTGTCTCGTTCTCCTTTCTCCGTCCCTCTCCTCTCATACGCTTTCCACTCACATTTACTCCATCTCGCAACTTCTTACTCAAATTCACTCACTCCCGCCCTCTCTTCTCCTCCCTCTTTCTCACTTCTCCCTCTCTTTCCCTCCCCGTTAAACCTATTCGCTCCCTCTCTCTTCCTCGTTCATACCCACACGCTTCCCTCTCCGCTCGTTCAGCCCGTCTCACTTTCACTCTCGCTCGGACCACACCGTAGTCGGACGTCCCGGTCTACCCGGGGCGTTCGCCCGATCCACCCCGCCGCGCCGCTCTCGCAGCGCGATAAGCCGCCCCCGGGGATCCGCGATTGTCTCGATTTATATGCATGCACAGACGTAGTAGGTGGTGGGCTGCTCCACCGGCTGCATGCTTGCGTGCGTGCGGCCACGCTGTCGTACGGCGCGGGCTGCTGCGGGATAAAGGGCGGGTGGAGAGGGTCGACGTAGGAAGACAAGGGACGGAGGGCTGCGGGCAGAGGGTGGGTTTTGCGGGAAGGTGGAGCAGAGTAGATGCGACCGTCGATAGATCGATTCACCGACAGACAGTAAATATCGCTGATGAGCCGGTCCGGTCGTCGACGATTGGGACTTAGGGACCGGGGGGCGGCTCGAGAGGGGTTCGGGTGCTTACCCTGCGATTTGTCGAGTGGCAGGAATCCGCGCGCGCTACTCAGCGCTACGGTGCACGGATTCCACCCCCACACCCTCCAATTCCTGGTCTTTATCCTGCGTTTCGGCCATTCTTTATACCGGCGATTTTTGTTTTTAACGCGCGCCATCGGAGCTTTCCGGCCGGCGGAGGTATCCCGGTGCCTTGGGAGGACTCGGGGATGGAGGACGGATTAACGGGCGTAATTTTTCCTTTTTCCGCGGACGCTCCGGGGGAAATTGTTGCGAACGAGGGGCTCGCCGGTCGCGCGCACCCCCCGCACGATTATCCGATTTAATTCGGAAATGCCTTTTTAATGACCGGGCCGCCCGGTGTTTCCGTTCCGGGGGGTGGTAATTGCGAACCGGTTGATGGGGGGATAATGAATTTTCGCACGGTGTCCTATGGGCGAGGTTAGACGTTTCGGAGGATGGAATTGATTTTAGATGTGGAAGATCTCTTTTGGGGTAGTACAGTGTTTGCGATGAAGTCGTGTGTAGTTTTGAGTTTATGATGGAAGTTTGGTTGCTAGTTTGGAATTAAGGAATGTTTTAATGTAATAAGCATTGCAGTATTAGGGCTCTTTGTATTTTATTAATTCGTAGAGGTAGACAGTATAATGAATCAGTGTCAGATTTTAGAGTGTTGTAGACTAAAGTATTGTGTAAAAGACTGAATTGGATCGATATATTGTTATTATATTTAGACTAATTGAACGATTCGAAAATGCGTGAGTTCTGGTCCCATCGACGATTGCTCAGGATTGTATCACTATGGAGTTTACACGCGTCCTCTGTTCTGTTTACAGGTTTCCTTGTGCGACGATTACAGTCTGCCAGTCGACTTCGTGAACAAAAGACGTCCAGTGAGCGCCGCGGCCGCAACTACCACGGTACAGTGGGCGCTGCCGAGTCCCACCGTCGAAAACGTGAGTACTAGATGCCTCGGTTGTCGCTCGATGAAGCGTAAATTACGCGGAAGTCCGGTCCCATGAACTTTGAAGCTGTCCAACAGCCATTCAAAGTTTTAGCGAACTTCCAGTTCAGGGTATCGTTTTATGAGTCCGGCAGATATAGTTGAAGTTTTAGCGAACTGCGTCATTGCCTGACGAAGTTTCCGAATCTTTTATTCCACTTAAATACAGTTATTAAATGTTATTTCAGGCATCAGCTTGCGACCATAAAAGAGATCGTGTTTACAGATTTCAAAGAATTCGACTTTATGCGTGAGACATTAATATAAAAGTTTTTAAAGTTCTCGTGATTCTTAGCTCCGATAGACTTAACACGGTGACTGCCACGAAAAATTTCAGCGTTTTATGTGTCATTTTTTCTTTTACAATGAACATAAAAAGAAATGATTATCAATCATTTGGCATTACAATTCTTAAGTTACATTATTGTCTTTTTATTTACGCTGTTGAACATTTTTCTTGGATATCAGTTATCTAACGAGGTGTAATTGTTTCCAAGTCATTCGGAAGCTCCGGTCATCGGTGACCACCGTGGCAGTCAACGTGTTAATAGATCCTTTTTAGCTCTTTAGAACGATTAAATATTGTCGAGTATTTAACTTTACCATATTTAGTCTTTTTAATCTTAGTTACTACCAGTTCTCTCGTGTTATGTTTAAATTCCCGCGTTTCACGTTTCCCGAAAATACAGCCCCGGTACTCCACTGTTTGAACAGGTGTAGTTATTACTCGGTAAGATTCCGGAGGACCTAGTTACCACATTCCGACGGCTCCATGGGACCTAGCTACCATATCCCATCACTTCATAGCACCTGGTTATTGCATTCCTAGCTTTCAGGGGACTTAGCTGTCGTACTGCATGTCCTCCAGGGAACAAATTACTATGCGATACATTCTCAAGAGACCCGGTTATCGCGTTTCGCAACCTCAAAAGGCTTGTTTACCTGTATGCAACCTCTATCTGGTGGGCTGTGGTTGCAGTGTCCTGCGATATGAACTAACCTAGCCTTTGACTTGAATAACGATAATACTTCGAAAGTTTTGGAAAAGGAATTGTATACTTCTTGCTCTACGTTCAGCTCTCAAAACTAAACATTAGCAAAAAGTGTCCCATCTTCATTAAAAAGGAATAATTCATACCTCGATCCATTTTCTTAACACGTTCGCTACCAGCGCTTATTTCAGTGACGGTCTTCCCAATTATATTTTCTTCAACCCAACAAATCTTCTAAACAAAATATTAGAAAAATGAAACTGAGACGAGTTATTGAGTCCCTAAATATAATGTCATAGTTTATAATTGCTAACAACAATATCTATACGATTAATTTCATTCTCATCATGTAAAATATAGGATTACAGTCGTCGCAAATACGTGACGCGAACGTGTTAAATTCTTCCCAAAGAACCTAACACAACACTAAATACACCCCACTAATAACATCCAACATTCCTGTACCCTAAAATTTCATCAGCCACATCCTCTAAGTCTCAACGATTTTTCACACGGTGCCACTATTATCCGATCGTCTCCTCGCGGACACTCTTCATCTTCGAAAACATTCTCACCGAAATGTTCCGGCGATTCACCGATTTACCGTTAACGTCCTTTAATCTTAATCGGGCTACCATCAGCGGAGTCCCTATCGTCAGCAACGTTCGCTGCAGCCGCCTATCCGGGACCTGCCGGTTAACGCCGGGTATTGATATTTTCTCCTGGCTGGCGGCCGAAGAATCGGCTGAAGGGAGAAATATAATTACGGTGGTGACAAAATACCCCCCGGGCACGATGGCACGGAGGGGCGGCGCGCGGTGGCGCGGAAAGGGTGAAAGACTGTTCCGCGGCAGAAAGAGACAGCGACGGACGTTCGAGCGGAAGGACGAAGGGAAGCGTGCGAGTAACGGGCGGAACGGGGGCGGAACAGGGGCGACGGGGTTGCCGGGAGGCCGGTGACTTCCGGCGGTACTTATAATTGTTCCAGCACTCAGTCGCTGGTGCTCGGGATCGCCTCGGGCGCAACGCCTAAATGCTCCTGCAGTTGGAATACAGCTCACCTTGACTATGTTTCCTGGTGTCCCCGAAAGTGCGGTCGAAATGTCACAGTTTACTCCGCCACCGTTGTGCCTCCTGAATCTGGGTCCATTTTCTCCCAGGAAGTAATTTTTTTCGCTGCAAAGTAGGTCTTGTTAACAACAGCCAGCGACGTGACAGCGCACGGACGATATTACATAAAACGACGAGTGTAATCGGGGCTGTTGTCGTTTAATCCTTGGAGAGGGTGTGCTTGAAAATAGGTAATCGAGGCGATTTGTGATTCTGTAATAAAGGAGGCTGTGAGGATTTAGTATCGGTTGATTGTGGATTTTAAATAATGAACTCTGCCGGAAAATTATAGAGTTATTTGAAATTCTGTAGAGAATAGTTTATGTAACTGATTCTAGTTTCTTTTGGGAAAGTTTGTACGGTTTCTCTGTTTAGTGACTATTCTGTTAACTGTTGTCTCGAAGACTTTAATAACATTCGAGGGTATCTAAACGTACTTATCATACATCGTTAAAAATGAGTATTTTTTACGAGCACGTAACCAGATAAGCAAGTCAAAAAATTCCTCGAAGTACAAACTCCGCCACTCCAACTTCATCCCCTCAACAGCAACGCAATTCCAGATAATGTCCGAAACTCTCGATGCTTACGGTCCACGCTGATCATCAACAAATCGGCAACGTCGTTTCGAAGGTGGGTATAAATAAAAAGAAAAAGGGGGTTACGGTAGCCGGGAAGCTCGTAAAAAGCCGTGGGAGGGGGAAAGAAAGAAACATCGACGGCGGGGGCTGTGCAGAGGGTGGGACACCTGGGAGCGACGAACAAAAGTTTCCGTCGCCTCGTTGTCACCGAGGCGGCCCCTGACGAAAGTGCTCCTCACAAACAGCCCCGGCGCCAGGGGTCGCGCGAGCGCGACGAAGAAAGGTGGCGGGTACCACTTGATTCAAGAGGGTGAATCGTTATGACTCTCGCTCGTAAGCCCTACTTAATACTTTAGCGCTTTATTTTATGCGTGAGGTCGGGCGCGGCTGTAGGTCGCATTTATCACTGTAACAAAGAGCCCCGGCCGCGAGAAAGTTCAGACGGCGGCGCGCGCGTGCGAGGACTACCGTCGGCGAAGCGCTCGCGGTCTTCGCTCCCGAAAGTGAAACGGGGATTTATAGTTTCCTAAACAGGATAGGGTGGTCTCGTTGCCGGCGAGAATCTCTGATCGCTACGAAAAGAGGCGGGACTAACATTTTTCATGATACTTAACAGTGATTTTGTTGCAGTATTTATTGTAATAATTTTTAGTATATCCTTCGGTACCTGTGGGGTTAAAGTTAGTATTTAACTAATGATATATCTGTGTAATATGATAATTACGTTTGTGTATGTTTAACACGTTGACTGCCATGGTGTTCACCGATGATCGACTCTTTCGAATTACTTGAAAACAATTATAATCCGTGAGATAACTGGCGGCGAATGAAAATGTTTAATAACGCAAATAAGTGGATCATAGTGTGACCTAATAGTTGTGTATTAAATAATTGATAATTATTTCAGACTTTATATTTATAGAAATGGTTGTAAATGGACTATAATGGTAACAAATATGAAATGCATATGGGATTTTATAATATCTATAATTGAATTGATAAAAACGTTTGATACATCTGTAGCATCAACGTTTGTTTATACAGATATAATATAGTGTAAGAGGATATTGCTTGTAAGCTTTTCACTTCAGTTTTCACGACAAAGTTCTTCCTGTTCTTATTATTCAAGACCACTGCTCACATCTTCTGCAGTTCTCGCTGGTATTTCAAATTTCAATGCTCCTTCTGCTATAAATTATAAATAAAACTGTCAGCTTCCTTCTGCAGTATCTTCCTCGCAGTTCGCAGCAGGGAGAGATATAAAGTATTAATAAAAAGCAGGAAGAAGTCTACAACCTCTTCAGTGTAGTTTCAGCGATCCCTTTCCCGCGAACCGTAGCCGGTCTTCGCGGTTCCACCCTGCCAGGTCTGCGAGCTTTGCAATCTAAGCTCTTCGGGCGGCTAAATTCGCCAGTGCTCGCTAAGAGGACGACATTATGCGAGACCACGGAGTCTCCGAAGGCTGCGAGCGATGTTTTATTTCTGACTCGATCGGCGGAATGTATTACAAGGGTGGTTTCGGGTCGCGAAACGCGCATCGATTTATCGATTTTATTCATCAGGAACGGGAAAAAAGAGAGCGGGAAATCGAAGCGGTTCCATTGGCTGGACGTTCTGGGATAATTCCGACGGTACGCGCCGTTTTTCGCGTGTTCCAGTGACGAGACGGAAAACCGTAATGCGGCGAAAGTCATGCGTACGCGATAAAGCGGCGAGATTACGCGGTAGCTAATAATCGCGGTTAATTATAACACACCGGTCGAATAATCGGATTAAAGTCCGACATAGCGGTGGGATTATTGGCCGGTCGTTAATATAGTTGTTCTTGCCGAGTAACGTGGCTGCAGACAAAGCTGTTTAAAATTTAGTGGCTAGAGGTGATTACCCCATTTGCGGCGGTTACCGTTTGTTTGCGTGCATTTGAATAAACGATGGCTTCGTTGGTAAAGAGTTTTCATAGTCTCAGTGGAAAAGTGAATTCGTAATTTGTAGCGTCGGTGGATAATTAGAATGGTTTGTTAACTCTTCGCGGACGGATGTCGGCATTTCGGTGAGATGGAATGTTCAGATTTCGAAGAGTAAGTCGTGGACAAATGATCTAATTAGTCGAACAGCGAGAGATCGGCACGTAATTTCCTTGTTTTATATTAATTAAGCAATTGATATAGAATTTAGCTTCATATGTTGAAGGTTTCGTGTGTTTCGAAGGATCTTCGTCCGCGAAGGGTTAATTTTGGAACTGCTATTTGGGATTTTATAGTCGTAGGGAA